AAGTTAATATACACATCCCTAATGAAACCTTATATAGTGGTTAAAAATGAAAACTGTTGGGGGCCTGCCCAACAGCTCAGTTAAGTCACTGCTTAAACAAAGCACTCAGGATACTGTGGTTTGATCCCCAGATCCTCAAGCCTTACCAGACCTGCCCCGAAGGCATCCTGAGCCAGCCAAAAAAACAAAACACTTCAGCACTTGGGGACAGGGCTCAGTAAAATAAGCGCTTCCCTGGCAAGCATAAGAGCCTGAGTTCAATCCCTGGTTCCACCAAAACAAAAAATAAAAAAAAAAAAACTGTAAAGACCACCAATCTCAAAAAAACAAAACAAAACAAAAACAAAAAAACCCCTAGTACTAGCAGTTCTAAAGACAGCACCACTCAAAGAGCAAGCAGAGGGGCCAGGGAGATGGCTCAGTGGAATAAGCGCTTCCCAGGCAATTGCAAGGGACTGAGTTCAATCCCCAGCTCCGCAAAAAAAAAAAAAAAAAGAGCAAGCAGATTATCAAGGTTAGGCCTCAGGACAAGACAGAGAACATGGAGGACAGAACAGCAGTTCATCATTTTGTTTACATATTGGTATTTAGTTATTACTTGCACAATAAAAAAGGTCACATAAAAATCATTCCTACAGAACACGTAGGAATGATTTAGTTATTACTTGCACAATAAAAAAGGTCACATAAAAATCATTCCTACAGAACACGTGCTTGTTATCCCAGCACTCCAGAAAGCTGAAGCGAGGTCTCAACTTCAAGCCTAGCCTGAGCAACTGACTAAGATGTGGCTCACTGAGAAGGGCCTGGGTTCACCCTCCAGTACCAACACCAAAAAAAAAAAAAAAAAAAAAAAAAAAAAAGTTTTTAAAAACCCTGTGGATCTTACCATAGTTCTAAACTGCCTTTTACAGAAAGTGAAAAGTAAAATCTGACCAGATTTGCTGCCAAGACCCCAGGCCTTTCTGGTTAAAGGGAGAGGAACACCCCTACATTATATTCAGCATGTCCTCAGGCATCTCAGGAACACCCTAAATTGGCCAGCATTCCTCTCCTGGGGCTTTCAGGGAAAGTTTCCTGCCCTGGCCACCCCTATTTCCCAGCCAAGGGTCAGGTAGAGATTCGGAGCACAGGATCCTAGCTGAGGCCTCCCAGTAAACTGCCCTGGGCATATTAGCCAATCGAGCCTCGTCCTCAAAATGTAGCTAATACAAGGACCTCACAGAACTCTAGAAATGATTCAACGACAGCTTTAAATACCCAGCACATGGGACCAGGAGATGGCTCAGAAGAAGCGCTTCCCTGGCAAGCGCAAGGGCCTGAGTTCAATCCCCGGTTCCACAAATAAAAAATAAATAAATACCCAGCACAGCTAGACTTTTAAACAGAAGCCGGTTCCTCTGCCAGGTGGGGCAGACACTCCCAAGGTCTCCTCCCACTTCCCAAGCTCCAGGCCACAAAGAATCCTAAACTGGGATTCCGAAAAGGCAGGAGGGCAGAGAGGGCCATGGACCTCTTCGGGGAGGAACAGAGTCCAGCGCCTGGAGTCTTACACCCTGACTAACAGGACACCTGGTGCTCAACAGGCACTAAGTGAACATCTGATGAAGAGGCCTCAGACAGACGACCACGAAGAAAAACCAGGCAGGCAGGCAGGCAGGCAGGCAGGCAGGCAGGCAGGCAGGCTGGCTCACCTGTTCATGGAACCAATTCTGGCCCTTCCACAGTGAGGCTCGCGAGTGCACGGCGAGGCTGCACACCGGGCACTACCATCACTACCACAGAAGAGAAACTGCTCTGGGGTTAGCTAACTCAGGCAAACTTACCAAACATGCCTCTGACTTTTCCTATTTCAAAATACTCACAAATTTCAGCTTCCCACAAACAAAAAAATAAAACGGTCTCACTTAATATTTTCTCATTTCTAACCCCACACAAAGTAGCGACACTTGGCGCGCAAAACTAGAAGTCCTTTATAAAACAGAACGTCTTGGAATTAAAAAACCCTAAATTATAACAGGGTTAAGGCGTAAAGGAGAACTCCTGAACCATTTATTCACTGTTACCATGCTTGGGCTTTTCTATCCAAGAGGCTTCACCGCTTTTTTTCATTGATATGCTCCAACAGTCACACACTGGTTTACATCAGACACCATCGCACGGTTTTCTGTCCTGTGTACCTGATCAGATCTGCCATGACCGCTAAGAATTCAGTGCTGCCGTGGAGAACTCGCCCTTTAAACACAATTAAAATGGCAAGTGACAGTCCTTCCTGAATCACTAACAACCCCCCTCTGTGACCAGCTTCTGAGGCCCTGGTCACACCTTTTAAAGAGCCAGAAGATCAGCTCAGAAGGGTGCACTTTGTAGCCCCTAGGTCAGCTCCAGAGAAAGCCCCCTCACCCCCTCAGCAGCACACCTCATGCATATTCATGAAGCTGAGCATCATTTCCCTCTCAAAGGCTGCCCGCACCCTGGAGCTACAAGAGTAAAAGGAGGTTTGGTGACTTTCAGGGCCTACCAGTTCATCTGCAAGGAGGCCCAGAGGCACTGGCCTCCAGCTACAGGCTGCTGCTCCGCCGTGTGCTTACCATCACACCCTTGCCTTTCCTAGGTATTGTTTCTGTCTCTTACTGTGGACAGCACAAAGGCACCGTGGCCAGTCCGAGCAGGACCACAGTCCACAGGAGGCATGCTCACTGCGCAGGGACCACGGGGGCACAGAAATGCAGACGTGGAAGTAGTTCGGAGTGTAAAGGGGCCTCCTCCCTGCTCACCACCATTCCCCCGGGAGCCTCTCTGCTGGGAACACCTTGCAGCTCTGTGCTTGCCAAGGGACGGAAACTTTCCTTCAGGGTGGTGAACACTGTGCCTGAAACATTCACTAAGTGCGCTTGTGCAGTCACCTGTCCACCCCACACAACCACTCAGCTAATGTAAAGGTATAATCTGCTCACACTTGAGTTATGATGAACAAGTTACCTATTCACTGCAAACCACATCTTATTTGTGCTGCCAATCAGGTCTTTAAAACAGAAAAAAATCTTATCTATATTAATTTACCCTAATTGGTGTATAATGGGCTCATAGAGTATGTGGGTTGTCTCCATGAAGTAAATAGTTTTAACATATTAGAACTACCGGGGCTGGTGAGATGGCTCAGTGGTCTAAGGCACCTACTTAGAACAAGCTTGGCAAAGCACAGGGACCGCGGTTCAATCCCCCAGCACCACATGCCAGCCAGCCCTGCCCCCTGGTGGGCTGAGCTGGCCACACACACACACACACACACACACACACACACACACAATAAATAAATAAATAAATTATTAAAAAAAATAAAAAAAATAAAAAAGAAAAAAACATATTAGAACTACCAAAAAATCAGGCTCGGGCCAAGGAGATGGCTCGAATAAGCGCTTGCTTGGCAAATGCAGGGGCCTGAGTTCAATCCCTGGTTCCGCTAAATAAATAAATAAATAAATAAATCTTTGGGCTGGCAAGATAGCTCAGTTGAATAAGCACTTGCCTGGCACGTGCAAGGGCCTGAATTCAATCCCCAGTTCCTCCAAAAAAATAATAATAATCAGTCTCATTCTTGGACAGTAATCAATCATTTCCAGTGACACATCCTGGGACATTGAGAATTTCCAAAGCATGAATACTATGGACCCAAGTGATTAAAGTGCACATAACTTTCCAACAGAAGCAAAAGGTTTCAGGTAACACACCCCCAACTCCTTTCCAATGCAATGCACACCAACCCAACTCTCCTTCCAAAGGTTCCTTCCCGGTTTGTTTGGTTCTGTTGTTTGCTTTTTACATCTTGGGAGAAGCCAAAACCTCTGGATGCACAGGACACCTATAAGCCCACACATCTAACTCTCAGGCTTGTTTATTGTTCCTGCTTCTAAGACCTCCCTCCGCTGAAGAATTTTGACAACTTTTTTTACAAACATCCACAACAGATTTTCAAGTGTGCACTTTAAAGAGGGCTTTTAGAAGTTACTGAAAAACCAAAGTGACCATTAGTGGCTAACTTGACACCAGACAGGTGCCAGGGAAGGGCCTGAGCAGGCGAGGTCTCCGAGCTCCTGGCCACCGTCCCAGAGCCCAGGTGAAGAAAAGGTAACCCCAGGGGAGAAGGCGGAAGCGGGGAGCCTCTCACCAAAGCCAGAAGCAGCCCAACCCTCGCACAAACCATCTCTGGCTGCCACAGCAGCGGGTGGCTGTTTCCTTCCCTTTTGTATTATTTGGAGTTCTTTTGAAGAACCCTTTTTATTGCTTACTTCTGAATAAAAATGTATGTCGTCTTATTTTAAATAGTTCGCTTAAAAGGAGAAAAAAGCGCTTTGCAAACACCTTCACATTCCCGACACGCACTGAAACGTCTAGGGAACTCACCCTCAAGGGTCTGTTAATGGGTTTTAAAGCCTAGGTAGGCCCATAATGCGCAATTGGGGTCGTGCTGCGTGTAATATTTAGGCTCTTGCAGCTGTTTGTTTCTTAACTTGGCTTAATGACGTTGCTATTTCCTAAGTAGTTACAAATTCCCTGAAAACATAAAAGATCTAGAACAAACACAAAAGACATTTCAACTCAAGTTAGGCTGGTCTGATTCTGTACTTTTTTTTTTTCTTTTTAGGAAAACAGTATTTTTTAAAAAAATTTTCTCATCTCTGCGCCAATTTCTATTAAGAAAGGTACCACACCGAAAGCCTCCCCTCCCCCAGCCAGGTCCCGGGAACACGCCGACGCCGCACCCCTGCACCTCCTGCAAAGGCGCCCGCTCCGTGGGCTGCACCGCTGCCGCCCGGGCCGGGCCACCGAGTCCCGGGCCCGACGGGACCCACGGCGCATCCCGAGGGCGCGCCCGCTCCGGCGCTCCGACGAGCCCGCCGAGCCTCCCCGCCCGGCCGAGGACCACGTTTCCAGTCCCGGGCCGAGGGCAGCACCCGGGCGGGATGGCAGAGCAGCCCCGGGGCCGGCCAGACCCTCACCTGGGAGCGAGTCGCCAACTCCATCTTCCTAACTGGGCTCCAGCTTCCTCGTAGCACGTGGCCGCGGGGGCCTGGCTGGCCGCGAGCGCCGCGCTCCGAGAACCGCCCGGGCCGAGCGGCCAGCGCGCCCCG